TACAAAAACCAAATCTTTCCCAATCCAATAAATCAAAGTCAACTTGTATACAATAAATTTATTCACAAATAATATAAATGTATAGAATTGTTAACATGTTCATTTCTGTTGGAGGTTTGATGAAACATACACAGGGGCATCAATCTGTTGGGGCCAATACTATTTCACTTGTCCGGAGGGCTGAATCGCTTTCCATCATCGACAAATCTGAACTTCTACATTGTTGAAGTGGACACCCTGAAAGAAAAAATACATTTAGTTGAATTGACGATATCTTTACCGGAATACGAAATTGTTCAAATCTCAATTATATCACATGGCCGGAAAATATTCGAGGTATATCAGTTGGAAAAAAGCTTTGGAAGTCACTCAGAAAGCGTTTACTGTTATCAGTGACAGGCGAGCCGGAAACGAGGATGTCTAATACACCCACTTGAACGAGGAAGAAAGTTGCAATCCAGTCGAGAAAATCGAAAAATGATAAACTGCAAATATCCTGATTCTTGAAAAATTCGAGTTATGCCATCAGATGACGACCATTTTATTGTGAGTTACTTTTCGTGTTAAGAAACAAAATTCATTGAACTTTGAACGTTTTTCCACCATAAGCTCTAGATAGAACCTATCATTATTCACTCTTTTTCAAGGTGTTAAGTTTGTAGTTTTCGTAATTTTATGAACCACTAGTGAATAGAGACGTCTGAATGCTCTGATATAACTAATCCGAATACACTGTTCTTATGCGAGATTAGCAGGAATGACACTCGAATCTAGTAGGTATTTATCAATATCGACTTGTCATATGCTGTCATGTATGGTCATGGCTACTAGAGTTTAATTATATTTGAAAAGAAGTGCTTTCATAGTGACAATAGGTCCATATTTTATTTTCACAGAATTAAAATGATTGAAATGTATTGCTAGTGTTGAAAGGAATTTAATATACACATTGGTAGTAATAGTATAGTAAAGTTACGTACGTAGCCGCGGAGTGGCGCTTTACGTACTATACTTCACCTACTGCCATATAGTACATCAAACAACAAACAAACAGTCTGAATTATAATTCTTGACAGTTATTTCATCAGCTATTGACGGCAATTACGCGATCATGACACCTATACGGACGGAGGTGATTCTGAATAGATCGATTTTACCAAAACTGTTGATAACCGACATATCGTATTGATTCTTCCACCGAAATGACAATTCTTGTCGTTTTATTGAACAAAATTATGAAACTGGTTGTAACTTTTCATTCCGTCTTCTCATACGGAATGACAGGAAGACGAATGTGGAGGGATTGTATGAAATGGCGGAAATGACGGAATTTCAGATACACTCTAACCTCAAAATATGACTTGAAAATTGTCAAAAAGTGAACTTGCCTTAGGAAATATTTTGGAATTGTTCGCAATTCTACCACGAATACTTTCGAACACTTCTGTACACCTGAAATGACTTTTAAATGTTTATGAAAATCTGAAAGCATCAACATATATTTAGTCAATTATTCCTGTAGATAACATCAGAAGACTCTTACAATTATAAAATCCTTCAAAGTATTAAGGGGTCAATTTCTTTGATAACTATCAATGTATGTTGTCTTCTAACCGATGTACGTAATAAGAAGGATAACAAGAAAACGGGAACAATATCCATTATCAATTATAATTATAATTATGCACGGATGAACAGCTAGATTCCGGATTTATATCATTATTATATAACCTATAAAAGATCAGCTGAATGTCAACTCTCTAAATGAACCACATCGTATTATTGGTCGTCAATTCTGCTGCCACCATTGGGAAAAAGTCGATATGTTAACAGATCTAGTAATCTAACCAAAGATATGTTACCAGATCTAGTAACCTAACCTAAGATATGTTACCAGATCTAGTAACCCAACCTAAGATATGTTACCAGATCTAGTAACCCAACCTAAGATATGTTACCAGATCTAGTAACCCAACCCAAGTTATGTTACCAGATCTAGTAACCCAACATGAGATATGCTATTAGATCTAGTAACCTAACCTAAGATATGTTACCAGATCTAGTAACCCAACCTAAGATATGTTACCAGATCTAGTAACCCAACCTAAGATATGTTACCAGATCTAGTAACCCAACCTAAGATATGTTACCAGATCTAGTAACCCAACCTAAGATATGTTACCAGATCTAGTAACCCAACCCAAGATATGTTACCAGATCTAGTAACCCAACATAAGATATGTTATTAGATCTAGTAACCTAACCTAAGATATGTTACTAGATCTAGTAACCTAACCTAAGATATGTTACCAGATCTAGTAACCTAACCTAAGATATGTTACTAGATCTAGTAACCTAACCTAAGATATGTTACCAGATCTAGTAAACCAACCCAAATGTATTCAAGAAACGAAAAAGTCGATATGTTGTTGATATGCAATTCCAATCAACACACAAATGAAGAAGAAAAATTATTGATGCAATCGATTAACTGTCAAACACATAAAACATTTTGTGTAGGTACTCCGCCTACTAAGTGAAATAATTATGAAAAAATAGACTGATAGCCCTGTGGATCATCGTATAAGAGGAACAATTTTAGTTTTATTATTCCAAATGGAAAGATCATGTATTGTGATAGGTACATGGCGAAAATAAAAGACAGATGGTTTTTGTACGAGTAGCCGAATTCGAAAAAATATGTTCCTATCTTAGATTCCTCAATATCATGAGTTATTTTCGAAGGTTTTCATCTTGACTCAAACAAGCTATTGACAACCTCCAGACATTGATCAGAATATCAAAATATTTCGAATAATATCGGTTTACTAATGATATTTAAATTTCAAAGCCTACTAGATCTAGTAACATATCTTAGGTTAGGTTACTAGATCTGGTAACATATCTTAGGTTGGGTTACTAGATCTGGTAACATATCTCAGGTTAGGTTACTAGATCTAGTAACATATCTTAGGTTAGGTTACTAGATCTGGTAACATATCTTAGGTTGGGTTACTAGATCTGGTAACATATCTTAGGTTGGGTTACTAGATCTGGTAACATATCTTAGGTTGGGTTACTAGATCTGGTAACATATCTCAGGTTAGGTTACTAGATCTGGTAACATATCTTCGGTTAGGTTACTAGATCTGGTAACATATTCCAGGTTAGGTTACTAGATCTGGTAACATATCTCAGGTTAGGTTACTAGATCTGGTAACATATCGACTTTTTCGTTTCTTGAATACATTTTCCGTCTCTATTGATAATATGCAATTTCAATCAACACACAAATGAAGAAGAAAAATTATTGATGCAATCGATTAACTGCCAAATCCATAAAACATTTTGTGTAGGTACACCGCCTACTAAGTGAATAATTATGAAAAAATAGACTGATAGCCTGTGCGATAGCGAAAATAAAAGACAGATAGTTTCTGTACGAGTAGCTGAATTCGAAAAAATATATTCCTATCTTAGATTCCTCAATTTCTTGAGTTATTTTCGAAGGTTTTCACCTTGACTCAAACAAGCTATTGACAACCTGCAGACATTGATCAGAATATCAAAACATTTTGCATAATATCGGTTTACTAATGATATTTGAATTTCAAAGCCTACCAAGTGTCGATATATCATGGAATTCATATCACAGCCAACTTATTTTTTTTGAATAAAAAGCAATTCAACAGCGAATCATAAATAAATGCCACTTTGTGATACATGGTTGGATAGAGAATTTCAAGGCGAAGAAGATAGACTGAAGAAATGTACAGGGTGACACTTAAAAAAAAAAGTTGGGGGCACTTCTGGTCAAACAGGTAGTCGAAAAAAATTGTCGTTAAGTTCGTAAAGTGCGCTACCATTTATTATATACCCCCTGTGAATTTCAAAATTTTATCTCTTCAAATAAAAAATCTACAGGCTGCTACATGTCTCCTGTGTCACCCGGTATTGCTAGCGGTGAAAAAATTTAATATGCATACCTTGGTAGTAAAGAATATTCTTATCACGTGACCTTATATCCCGAGGCTTCAGTAAATGCGCTTTGGGCAAATTCTCAATTACGTCTACGCTTACGGTATAGCAATAGCGTCAAATATACACACGTGAGAAAGTGAATAAAACGATAAAAAGAATACCAACACTCACCGTTATAGGAAGGATCTACTGAGTCGCTTCGATGATTTCGAACTGTTCTTGCGGGTGGAGTTTTTGGACCCCCTGTATACTATTGGGCGTACTTCGCTCGAACGAACTGGTCCACTGCAGGCTTGATGGCTTGGGTCGTCCTACCCGGCAGGAACACCTTGCAATCCTCGAGCTCGACGAGTGGTCCCGAAGCTTCCGGCCTTGATTTGGACACCCTGTATTGGGAGCAGTACGTCCAGTGGCAGCTGGTTCAGCTTCTTCGAATCCTTCATGCTGGACAAAAGCCCACTTTATTCATTGGCTGCAGATCCATCTGTAAAAGGAATTTTTTTTCAAATCAGAAAAATTATGAGAAAAATCGAAAACCGACAATTTTGCAAGAGATATGTTACCAAAAGTGAATGCGCATTCAAATGTTAAGAAAAAAATGGAATATTTGACCGCACGACATGAAAAAACTGAAAATTTGGTCAAATTATGCTCCATAGTGACATTGAAATGTGTTGGAATGCTTTATACCAACAGTGAATACGCGTTCGAATGTTCTTCAAAGGACACACCACAAAAAAATTGAACTCATGCAATATAAAAATAACGGAAATTCTCAAAAAGTCTGGTCCACAGCCTGTCTCACTTTGAACTGCCCTCCCTCTATATCTCAGCTGTTAGTCGTGCGCTTCATACCAAATTTGGACCGGTATGAATATTATCATCAATGTGATCAGTTTTTCAGAGATGAACATCCTTTTGGACAGTGCTGTGCTTTTTTATTGAAATAAATAGGGGTCTATTTTTATATTTTTATTTTTCATGTTCTGGTTCTCACGAGAAGGGATATCCTGTAATGTTCAGAGAACATCGTGAGCACCAAGGGAAATAAGGTAGGAATTGGTATTCTTCTTGAATTTCTGGAGGTTATATGCCTCGGGGAACACATCCTTTGGCAATGTGTTCCAGAGCCTCGCTGTTAGTTGGATGAACGAGTTTTTGGAAAGAGATGTTCTGCAGGTCTCCAAAGTGACCACGAAGGGGCGCGAAGCCTCAACTCGACGGGTCAATCTCGCGGGGACTTCCAAGGGAGGAACAATTGTTAATATTTCAGAAGAGCATCGTCCATCTATAAAATAGAGCCATATCGCCAACTTTTCTACGGTGTTCCAGAGATGTGAGTGAGTTTGTGAGCGAGGCATCTTTGAAATGATAGATAGCAGTGCGATCGGTCTGTAGTTGCTAGGTAGGGTCTTTTTGCCTTTTCTAGGAACTGGTTGTACTCTTGCAATTTTCCAGTTGGACGGGAATATCCCCAACTTGTAAGAGTAGTTCCAGTTGGACGGGAATATCCCCAACTTGTAAGAGTAGTTGAACAACTTGCAGAGAACATGTGTTAGTTCGGGAGCACATTTCTTGAGAACAATCGGTGGGATTCCGTCGGAGCCAAAAGCTTTGTTGGTGTTGGGACCCAAATCTTCCTTATAGTACGTTGGCTGGTACCAAATGTTCAGGTTTAATTGCTGATGAATGTTATAAGATCGTTAGCAAACACTAGGAAGAATAATGGACCCAAATTTGATCCTTGAGGTACTCCCTGGCCAATTTCAGATTCACTGCTCATACATTTGTTAATTTTGACTCTTCTTGAAAAGAACTATACATCGTCTCTGGTGTAAACGTATCGATCTGGCCTCTCGGCTCGGAATATATTATTGGGCATTGGGCGGCTATGCAAAAGCACCCTCATAACAAAAACAAATGCGACCGAATCGGCCACCGAGATATTGATATTGCCTGCTTGCCGATATTGGCTCGTGTCGAGTGCAGTTGCTGGATCCCGGAATGTTTCTGAATCTACCGGAATTTTGTCGACTCCAGAAATTTCACATATAAATATATATAGGTAACATGATTCGAGTAAGAGGAAATATTCAAAACAGTCGATCTGTCCACTGATGTTATTAAAAAATGCCTAGATACCAAATAGTAATTGACGAATCTGTTCCAAACTCAACATTTTCTATTGGGTTCGTTTGGAAAAAAAAATTCTGAAATTTCACATCAATAGAATAAACTAACTATAGGGAAGTAGTCGACTACTAGCTTGAGCAATGCTATTTCGGCTTGCTAATCATCTAAGTTCGATTTATCCAGCTGATATTCAATACACGAGGAATCAGGCTTCATGTGTATATAATGAATTGAAGGCTGGTATAGACGAGGCGAAAAGATCACCATCTAGTGGCGGAAGTTCAAGTTGATGTTGAATGAACGAAATATTCCATTGATATTAAATACTTCGTTGCTCTATTCAAGCAAATGATCCGTTCGAAACAAGTTCATTGCTACATCGCAATGAGAAAACTTGTATGTTGTTTCAAAGATATATTCTTATCAAAATGATCATTATTCCATCAAATCAACAAAATGTTTATAGTTGAATCGACATCGACATTATTTTGGATCGACATAATTTGTTTTTGAGATAACCATATTCGAGCACAGATATATTAGGATGGATATATCAGGTATACTTATCCTTCAATTTATTGATGAGGAAGGGATAAAAAACAAAAGGGAAAAATCACTCAGTAAAATATTCCTTTTTTTTTATATTACAAATTGAGACGAGATTTTTTTTAATAAAGGAATTTTCGTGACGAATCGGTGTAAAATGTATTATGGGAGAAAGTAAAAGAGAGAAGTAGCAGAAATTCCATTTTGCGGATAAGAGACTAACCAACCGTACGGTATTTCTTTATGCCTTCCATAAATCATATCCAGCAACCTTTTCCACTGATGATCGTTCTCCTCTTTCCTTCAGTGCACCCATAGGCGGAGATTGCATGAGTAAACTTGTGATAAATTGAATGAATTCCACATCATATAACTAGATTTAAATGGGGTGTTGTATGGAACGTATTGACACGATTAACCACAAAAAACTGCGCTCTTGTCATACCATAATATATATTTCACCAATAACTATTATTGAACGCTAGGCAACACTGCAAACATTATTGAAACTTCCGGTGCATCACACCTCAAAAAATTTTTGATACGGCTGTTAAAATTAAATGAATGATTTGAGAAAATCGAGGCTTACTTTGAAATTCATAATATCTTCCAAAACAACTTTTATATATTTTTTTACAAAAATGTAGTATTATTTCGTTTTTGTAATTTCTTGTACTATTAGCAATTTTATTATCCGCTTCGATTTCGAAAAGAACGTCAACCAAAGCGTGAAAGAATCTTGAATGTGTATCAGTTCTCGATGAAATGTATCATCAGATATAACTCAATCCAGTTTTAGTTTATCAATTTAACCATGAAAAAATAATATATTTGGCTCATTTCCACATAAATATTGATTGCTTTTTGATGTGAAGGTGCTGTATATAGGATTCCACTCCATAATTCTTGATATCGACCAACCAATGAAGGATCCAAGAATTGTGTTTGATTTGATTGATTCTTATGAGGTATAGTTTTGAAAATTTGATGTTATAGTGTCAATTCAAACTTCAATTTCAAAATCAAACAATAAAAACATTCAATATCTAGATATAGTGTGGAGAAAAAGTGCCGTAGTCTACAGGGTGTGATCCAAAATTAACGAAAAGATTGTACGTAGTAGTAATAATAAAACAAGTGCGATATCTTTAGAGTCACATAGGCATCAATCAAACTATGGAAATGCATAGTGAAAATGTGAAATTTTCATATGGTATGGTAGTATCGATATACACAAATTTTACGAGAAAAAAGTACACGAGTGTCGCTCGACAAAAAGTGCAATTTCTAACTTTTCTCCATCAGCTTGTGGAAACATTCTCTAATAATAATTATTATTAACTAACCTCACCTGACTGTCGAGGACGTCGCGAATCGGCGGGGGCAGAACAAAGCGAGCCGTTGGGAAAATGTTATGAAAATTCCTACCTTCTTTGCAGGAAAATTCGTTTGATGTCGAATTCCGACATTTCTGAAAGGGCACGACTGCTATGATGCCAGTCGGTGTGCAGAGTTAGCCAACCTTTTCACAGTGGCGTACTAACAAATAAAGGTGATAATGAGAAAATTCTTCAAGCCATACAGCGCCAATGTTCATGGTTCGATTTTGATGAACTGAGAAGTGGATGAAATTAGAGTCACTAGATGGTTTTTGATAAGAGTTCAGACACAATATACAATTTCATAAACTACTATTGAGGAGAAAGCATGAATGAAAATGTCCTGCTGTCTAATGAATTGTGGGAATTCCGCAGAGAATATCAACCATTCTCATATGGAAAAAATTTATGAAACGGTCTGGATGGATGATTAATTTGAAGACAAGCAGAATTTTTGAGGTACATATATGAAACTTAACTTCTTATAACAGCAGATTAGAATGAAACCATATTTTAGAGAGAATCTGCTGTTCCATCCTTTTATAAACAGACTATTTGAAAAAATGTAATATTATCATCACACGAAATGCAGAACAAAATTATCATGGCGAAAGAGGAATTGATTGAAAAAGATACCAATACCATCCAGTTACTCTAGATGAAATAACTCCTCAAACACTATGAGGGGGCGGCAGTCTGATCCCAATTCAACTTTCACGTAAGCCATTGTGATTTCTTTTTGAAAAGGAGACTTTCATGTTGGAAAAAAATTAATACTTCGCCATAATGGGGACATTTATTTGAGATGAATTTTCATAAAATACGTTCGGAACTCCTCAGTTTTATCTCGATGACAATAATAAAAAAGACATTTTTATTTTCAAAATAAAGCAATTTTTGGTTTTCGGGGCAGCTGTGCCTGTCACTGTGGCCTGTCAGTATTTTGTGTGGTGTGGACGGCCTCAAAGTATTATATGCGCTGTGGCACGATATAATCTGCCACTTTTCCTAGAAAATTGATCCGTTTTAGAAAGGGAATCACACAGGGAATCGTATTTCAACTCCGTGTGAATGTGGCTTTTCAGAAAGTACCTAATAAAAATGGTGATCCTTCATGTTTCTTTTTCATTTATTTTTTTCTGAAGTGGAATTCGATTTCAAGAAGAAGAGAAGAATACGTATATTATTATATTGAATTTTTACAAACTTAGTGAAGGATTTTCTTGTACACCACCAAGAATTTATGATAAAGCAAGAAGTGTCTGAAAATGTAGTACCCACGAAATCAAACAGAATCTATGACAAATTAGACAACTCATGGACTGGAGAATTACAAAATATATTGCAGAAAGCACTGATACGAAATAAACAATGAAATTACATAATACTGACTCTTCATTGATATGTCTTTCGCACCATTGTGTCTTCATTCACTGGAAACATTCGAAAAGATATAGAAAAGTTTCATTACTTATTGGTAGAGTAGGTAGTTTTTCCCAGAATTGCATGAAGATCAACTTGTTGTACATAATTATTGAATTTGGAAAAAAATACTGTCAGAAAAGAATCTACAAAAGTTAAATTCGAATAACATTACATAGGACGATCTCTTCTCAATATTTTTTTGTGCAAAAATGAAATAACTCTGGTTCATGTGGTTCATGTGAAACGAAATCCCACGAGGCAGTAAAATATTATCGCAGCACTCCCGAAACCATATTCGGCAAGTTAAATCTAAAAAAGAGGGCGACCTCTTATCTCCCGATTGTTCGCTGCCAAAAATCAAATTAGCCGGGCTAAGGAAAAGAGTGAAAAAGAGGGCAAGCAGACAGGCAGAAAAGCGTCTATCTAACAAGATTAATTCAATAACGGGTTCGATATTCCGCCGCCGCCACCAGAACAATTACAACGGCCATAAATCGGACGAGAAGAAGAATCATCCTCTCAACGGCATCTAATTAAACGATCGAACTCGGATGGCTGTTCGGGAAATTTTTCGTGCAAATAGAACAACGACGTTCAGTCAACATTTGGAGAGAAAATAACAAAATGTCAGTCAAATGCCTACTTTGATAGCGTTTTCCACTTGCCACGAGCGAATTTTCTTTATCGATGCATATTACTCAGCTCCAAGGGCACTAAGTGATTACATTACAAAAAGTCAGTAAGTGTATGTGGTGAGTCTCGTCAAAATAAACTACTTTTTTCCTATGAAATGTTTTTCGAAAAATGATTTGTTTTCTGTATTTGAACACCCTGTACCCTCGAAATGAAGCATTTTCGGACACAACTTTGTATACACTTTTTTGCTTAAAATTGTCTCAGGAATACGTCACTCGAACATTTTAACGTACTTATGTTACACCCTGTATATACATGGTCAATTTCTGCTTCGTTTTCTGATTCGTAGGCGATATCCAATGCTTCTTTCAGGGAAAAACTACTGAAAACGACAATGCATCATTGGTTTCCTTAATTTTCATCGATGAATAGTATGAATATAATATTTCTCATTTTGTTCTGCAAACCGCCTAGTGGTCCCGTATGGGTACACCATTCTTTAGCGGAAATCAATAAAATATTTCACAGAAAACAGAATCTTCCAACGTGATTTTGACCCACTTCAAAAAGTCGAACTGAATTGAAAATTCGCACACTTATCAAGGATCGATGACAATACTTTTGTTCCATTATCGGTTAGCGATTTTTTTTCTCGAATAAAATATGAATGATGTTCCTCCACCAAAATTTGAAGATGTTCCTCCACCAAAATTTGAAGATGTTCCTTCACCAAAATTTCAAATGTTCATAGCTGATATTGAACTCGTCATGCAGTCATGAGCTGGTCTATCAGCCCTCCAAGGGATGACGTTGACTTTTGGTACACCCTGTTAGGTTCGTAGAGGTAATCTTAGTAGTGCTCCGGACTGGACCAGATCGAATGGCCCCAATAAAAATTTATGGGTTTTCGTCGATTGCATTGGAAGTGTATAGGACGAGGAGATAGCGAGCGCAATTTGTTGCGAATCACCGTTTCAATTAAGAGCTTTCCATTTTCCCTCCGATCGATCCCGGAAGATAGACATTATAGTCCGGGCGGAAAAGCAAAGTTGCGACCCATGTCGCCAGCTCAGGATGAATCAAGGGATTTTATACGAGGTGATATAATCTTCATCTACCTTAATTCGCACATTCCATTTTTTCAACATAATGTTTGGCTTTGTTCCAAGAGTATGAAACCTAGATTGCAGCGTCTTAGAAAGACCTATACTAATAGTGTAGTGAAAAACCTAGAAAATGTCTGACTAATTTCGCTTTTTAGCCCAAAAGTTTTATAAGTTCATAAAGAAAAAGTCAATCCTACCTTTTTCGAAGATAGAAAAATTCCCTACAATCAGAGTTCAATTCCATTTTTTTAGGTTCCATACTTCCAAAGATACAGAACGTAAAGAGTCGGTTTATGTTTCAAGAATTTGAGAATCGCAGTATCCTTCTTATGAGTAAAATAATATGGGCTCTAATACTCTAGTATGTACTTGAATTTCAAAAACAACAGTAAGGTGATGTTTTCTAGTAGAAAAGTGATCGATCTCCTTGTTTTGGAGAACTTTTGCTCCCACTTTTTTATTTTAAATTTGTAACCCTGATATCTGCAGGCCTAAAAGCTCTGGGCAACTGGTGAAGGGGTTTTTCAATTTTTATCCATCTTGCACTCGACCATAAATTACAAATTTCTTAGAATATTAAAATTTTAAGAATCACATTCTTGAAGCACTTTTTTTTAGGGCAATCCAGTGGCAAACTCAGATTTGTGTTCAGTCGCTGTTTTTATCAGAAATTCCAACTATATAAGTTATAAGAAAACAAACAAACTTTTCCTGCCATGGCAGAGAAATTACACCTTTCCTGCCTGTTATGTGTCCGAGAAAAGCCACTTTCCCTGCCGCTTCGAGAAAAAAATGATACTGATATAGTGAAAGAAAACCAATTCAACTTACCATGCAGAACACAAGTCACGTTTCCTTGCATTTCTGGCCAAGACTTCGTTCGTTCACCTGGAATTAAAACGCCTTGAATTATTTCAGAAATTTCTATCTGGATCTCAATTTCCATCACTAAATGAACGATGAAACAATATAACACAAAAGCAGAACATTTTTATTCGTTTAAATTTTTGTTGAATGTTCAATTAATCCGTACAACGCGCACTTATAGAACTCAGGGCACGGGGCCCTTCATTTTTAATAAAAACCCCTTTATTCACCAATATAACCACGATATTATGATGATAGACATCGGCATCCAATTTAAAATACTGTTTCACTTCCATGTAAGTCAACTTCTAAAACGGCTGAAGGTGGACTTTTTTAAGTGCGAAACATGTCCCCTTGATTGATTTACATCAGTAATAAAGTAGTGGAGATGACTTTGAGCTTTCCTTCTTCCTTTTGAAAAATTCCACTCCACTTTGGGCAAACATGGACTTCTACTAGAGATCAATTGTATCATTTCATCACATGGTGTTTCGGAAATATTTAGGGAATATCATCCGCAGGTGCTCCTTTTCAGGAAGGCGTTGCTCCCTTTTCTCACTATCTATTCTATGGTTCTAGAAGCCGCTGGTGAAGTTTGGCAGGCAAATTTCGGAACACCTTGTATATTGCTCAATCAAAATCTATTGAGCTGCACCGGATACGATAGAGAACATATTATACATAATCAGAACAGTACCGGTTTAGGAGGAAGAAAACTAAGGATACGTGTTTGAATAAATAAAAAGAGCCCCTGCATTATATCCCGAATTAATTCCCGCTCAAAATTCATGTGCACGGAACGTATTCGTTTGTTCTTTCTGTGTTTGGGGCACGTTTTCACATAGAATAATATACTCCTCACATGCACCCTCTCCCACACAGTGCATATAACGATACTGAAGAGTTCATCTGTATACTGTATAGGCGTTTCGTTATCATCATTAGGTATCATATTGTATTATTTCTTCGAAACCCAATCTGATCTATTTGTTTTCATTCAAGTCATGGTGTAAACAGACCACAGATTTCTACCAGAACTCTGGCTGAAATGATAGTTATTTATGTATCAAGGGTGTGAAATAGGCGTTTATCTTTATTTCTCATTGTGAATATACCTCTGAGGAATAACATTGATGTAGGAATCAATGTAACCATGGTTATTTAGTAAATTTTTCGAAATAGGAGTAGACTTTTACTGCCCGGCAATTTATGTAATCAGAGAGATAAATTATGTTGGGTTCGGTCATATCATTTTGGAACTCAAAAATATCAAAAGAACTTCGATATTAGATGATGAACTGGATGAACATGAACCATCACAACTGAAAAATAGATTTCCTGAATTATAGAGGAATACTTATATTATTAGTAGTAAAATAGTCAGGAAGGTAAGAGTTGTTGTTATCACGATATTACTATGGCATTTCTTTCGAATAAATCAGAAATGGATCTCAAATCTGTTTTGGCAGATATGCTCAAGTCGTCAATCCTTTGAACGTTTTAATAGCGGACATTTCCTAATGAAGTCACTTTTAAAGTGAGAAAAATTATCCCGAGCATAACGCAAATATTAATTTCGTCGGAATGTCTTAATTGCATTTTTATTCACCGTGCACACCTCCATTTTTCTGGCCAGATATTGTGTACAGAAAAACCTCCTAGTGATATATTTGACATTTACGAATGGAACCTTCTTCAGATAAAAAAAAAATCATATTCGACAATCTAACTGACCAACATATGAATAGATTTTTTTTTTCAAAATTGCTCGAATTACATTTCCATTCACAAAATTTCAACATTTTCTTCCCCTTCATAACATTTTTGCAAAACACTATGTGGAATTACAAATACATATTTTAATTGTTATTTCTGATTAAAAATGTGTGTTCCAGTAAACAGGAAACTCATCAAGTTTGTGAAAGAAGTAAGGAATTAATATTTCAAAATTAAAAGTTGCCACGCGGAAAGTGCGAATCTGTAATGTCGTAACTTATTTTGGTGTATGTGAATAACATCATTATGTTGTAAAAGTATATGAATATAAAGCAACAGATGCAGCTTTATGAAATTTATAACGCTATACAAGATTAACCGCCTTTTTCAAATTAAAAATCATATTTCAGCTCATTTTTCGCGTAATATACGAAACCATATTAGGAATTTCATGAAAACATCAAACAGACAACTTTTCCTGCAGATTAAATCGGAAGGCAAAGGAGGGATGAATGGGTTTCGTATCTATATGTTATTAAACTTATACCCGTTTAATTCGGGATATGCAAAGTGTTGAAATACACTAAATTTTCCTTATTATTATTCAAATTCGTTGAGGGAGGTTTATTTCAAGTGAGAATGACAAATTGAAAAGACTCACTCCGGAAATTTTCATCTAGAGAAAATCACGCTTTATCGTTTTGACCCAAAAGTTCTATGAAACGAGAAATCCAACAAAAACTATCGTTATATACATTATGATAGTTTTTGTGATATTTCACTATTACAAATTAAATAGAGCAATCATTGCTTGAAATTTGAGATTCCACGAGAGATGTCATTTATTGTCAAATAATAACACAGACAAGGGAATGAAATTATCGAATTTGAAACTGTAAAGAAATAGCATTTATGTGTTATAGCCGTAGAAAAAAAATACCTATCATCATTTTTCATTTTATACCTAGTAATTCTGTATTGCCCTGTGGAGTAGCTATAATTATGTTATCAATTAACAGTCCAGATTGCCATAAAGGTATTCTTGATCAATAAACAAAACGGTAACAATTAAAAACAGCAGCATCAGGATAGAAGTAATGCATTTCCGTTGCAATCCTGTGGGATTGCGCGCTAGGGTGTCAAAATAAACAAAAATCATCAGTCGATTATTTGAGGCAGCACTATAAATAACAAAACAGTGCAATGGCGGGGGATTTTTTATCTAATTCGACTTTTACTTTTCGTGAAATATATTACGTAACTAGTGTCGAAATATTCTTTTTGACATCAGACTTGATATTAGTATTTCACTATCGCATCCAATAAAATTCACAAGGATATACGTGAACAATTCAATTTTCGCTATGTTGAATGTATTGTTCAGTAGGCATATACTGGGTGTTTACGGTTTATGAAATCGTAGCAATGAATATTATGGGGTGTTGTTCGATACATAATAAAAATATAAAAATTAACCCCTTTTTTTTAACCATCATTGAACATCTGGCAATATTGCAAGTCATTACTTTCGTGTGATCTAGAAAATGAGATGATGTTTTCCACAAAAATGTAGTTATACATTCCAAGAACAAGACACCAAATAGTCTTCGTTTGAATGGACTCAAGGACATACTTTAGTCCCGCGAATAATGAAAAATATAGTTATTCATTATACAAGGGACGTATTTGATACAAATTATCGATGTGTAATTTGTTTTTAACATCTTTTCAACAGACAACTTTTCGTATAGCATCTTTATTGTTGTGCTATGGAAACCTTTTGAAGTATTCGAACATCTGCCAATTCAATTCTGTGATTTGAATTTGAAAAATTACGAACTTAGTGGTTGTTTAGTAATTTACGAAACATTAGAAGTGGAATGAAAAATAAAAAGCACTCTTGCAATTCTTTCTCGGAGATGGTGTAATTAGCTTATTTTTCGGAAATGGCACATCAAAAGCCATCAACAGTGCAGTGGGAAAGAAGTCAAACTTTTTTCCCGTAATAGAAAAAAAAATCGACATTTTTTAGAAAAGTTTCATCGATTTGAAATTCCCTTTGATAAATACGCTGCTGGCATTTATTTTGCACACAATAACGATGTCAGCGGAACAGTCTGGGCAAATAAATGCGGAGAATGTCTAGTTCTTATTGATACAAAAGTAAATCCAATAAGACGCGACAGCTATTGCCTGTGATGCGACCCGATACGGCCAGATTCGCAAAGAAGTGGAAGATGGACAAAGCCCTTATTCGAATAACGAAAAAGAAAAATATCCAATTATCCGGATTATTTATCATTTCATTCTGTACAAATGAAAAATAGAATGAAAATTAGGGAGGAGAAAAGCTGACAGATTTATCATTTTGAATCAGCTATTCGAAATTACCACGATATTTTTTGTAATATAATACGTTTTTAGGCTTCAAACAATTCAAGGCGAAACCCAAATACCTAAACAAATGATATCTTCAAGTCAAGTGACAAAATCCAAGGGAATATTCATTCTATATTGAAAACAAGGTTAATTTCTCTAGATTTCTTGTTTTTTGATTTCCTCGTTTCTCTTGAGATCTTATGAATGCCAAATAACACCTATATGCATTATCATTATTCAGATTACCTTTTTGATCTCTTGATTTGTTCCTATCTTACTTTTTTGCGAGAAAAAAAGTAGTTTTTCCGAAATCGACTCAAGAGTCGTCCATTTATGTTTCAAAATTATAGCTCTTGAAGTTTCTCTTACTGACACAATAAAATGATTAGTATTCATATATGTTGCTAAAGGCAACACTTTGAGTGTCTAGGAGGTGAAGTTAAAAATTAACTCCTAGGAACTAAATACGTGTCGAATGTCAGCAGAAATGATAGCTACTTTGACACTGACATGCTCAAGTCAGTCAAAATAGTGGTTATTTCACTTATAATTTATAAATTATTAGATATCAATTTATTCAGATTGCAGAAAAATAGCATGTTTCATTCTTTTCGAATTTTTCAATATTATATTATCTCTCGAAACCATATAATGGAAAAAAAGGAACCCAAAAGAATATGTTTTCACTGGCTTAATTCAGAAAGACAATAAAACTACTGTGTTATTTTTAGTGTACAAAAGATAGTTCTTCAGAGGCAGACAATTTTATTGAAATCGGCAAGAGCGTTTTCCATGCACACATTATAGTATACATACCAAGATGGAAATTCTAGAATGAAAATTAATTTTCAAAATTTAGGAGGGTCAAGTTTCCAAGTATTTATTTCAAGTTTTGAAGAATTGGTGGACCCTTGAGAATTTTTTTTTCAATTTCAATATTGAAAAGTTGGCATTCATCTGAGTCACCAACATTGATTAATTTAG